AACGATCATATAATATGACACATAAACGGCAAAAACTTTTGTGGTTACCTGATATTTCAGAGACGTCCGTGATTCCGTGCTGGACCCACTATATTGGCCAATAGCCGAACGGCTTTCAATGTTGGACGGTGCGAAGAAGGAGGGCATGCTCAGCTTCGCCGACACTTTCCGAACTCGCCTTCATGTTTCCATGCTGGCACAAGGCAACATAACGGCCAACAATGCCATCGATTTGGCCGTCTACCTGGAGAGGACTCTGAAATGCGAACCTCTCATCCCAAACAGCGTACTTGGGGTAGGGTCTCGTTTCTGGAATCTTTTTTTCTGGCCAACATCAACGCAACAACAATTTTGGGCAAAGTACCAAAGTTGACAGCCACAGTAACATGATGAAACAGCGAGTATATTAACAGTTGCACGTCAATTTCTTTTTTTCAGAACCGTTTATGCCAGTTGCCGCTGGGTCAATTCTGTTGTCGGATACGAAACCAGAATCCGACGGATGTTAACAGCTGCATCCAGGACTATTACCAATATGGGCCCGCCACGATCAACGAGGCTTGCCTGGTAGATTGCATCGTCAGCCACCTGTCAGAGGAACTGTTCGACATCTTGAGGACAACGGAGCAGCTGGGCTATCGCGTGGAATGCAGCATGAACCTGACCAGGGGCATCGTCGGATTCCTCGTCCGTGTCGACACTCAGTCACAGAAATTCAGGTCCTCCTGAATCAGTCTTTCTAGTTGGGTAGAGTACACTAAATCGAGAAACGGAAAGCTTCATACAGTCGAACCCGGTTCTAACGTCATCGAAGGGACCAGGTAAAAACTGTCGTTTTTATCGAGGTTCGTTATAACCGAGGTTGCCTTTATTGGTACTCCGTTTTCTTGTTTTCAAAATTGATGCTATATAACGTTACAACTCCTGTTTATATTGGTCCTACTACACTAGCTTCAGTTTCAAGATTGACCCACTAATCGTGATTATCACAATTCTTTGGACCTTGAACTACTTTATATTATATTTTAGCATGGCTTCGTCGACGTCATCTCTACAGACCTAGGAAGTTTATTGTTCTGTGACATGTTCTCGTAAATACGGATGAAGCTATCACAATTTCCCCTAATTGTGGAAACAGATGAACATCATTCATGTTCGCGAGCGGCGTTGGCTTCACTTCGAACTCTTTCTATTAAACTAATCAAGCGCACTTTCAATCGTGAAGGCTTGCTTCTTTCGTTTTCCATTGGCTATGTTGTCAACGAGAAATGCAAATGGCGACTGAAGATAAGGTGATCTTAGTTACTGGGGATTCTCCCTCCCTAACAGTGCTCCAGCCACGCCCACGTGACTCTCAAGGAATGCCGAATCCAGGAAATATTAAGTTATGGCTCGCCAACGTCAATTTTTCCGATGACAGAAAGTTAAGAATGACGGATTAGGGACATGAAACATTGTCGATTTCATCTGTGAGACCTTCAATGGACTTCGTTATAACCGAGGTTGTTATAACCGAGTCTGAATGTATATCACCTAATTTTAACTTTCCAATATTGCCTATTTCCACTAACGTTGGCAATACGTATTTCCTGCTTTAAACGAGATCCAAACTTGAAACTAGTGTCAAATGAAACCTCTCTTCGAGCTCTTTCCAATGATATTTTACTCGTGTTGTTACTTTTGCTTTTGCCGTGTGCCTTTTTTTTACTTTTGAACTCGGCAATTTCCCAAATGGAAGGTGTGAGTAAAATTATAGCGATGGCAATCTCGGTTACCAACCGGGCCTGGGCATATCTCACATTTTACTTATAAAAATTGCTGTTTCTAGAAAATGCTTGCATTAAGAATTAAATATCTACGAGCAATATTCTATACTAGCGAGTTTGTTTGCCCTTCGGGCAAAGAAACTCGCTATTGAAGCGCCTTCGGCGCTCTGCGACGTGAGGAAATTACTAATGCATTTCAGTTTAAGGCATCCGTTTTTCATGCTCATTCCTAGTTATGCGGTCAAACTCCTTTGCTCACGGCTTCAATTCCCACACCTTTGGCTCTCACACCTTAAAAACAAAGGTGTCTTAGAACATATTCTTAGTAACACCATGTGACTTGTAGCATGAGGAACACCAAGTAACATTTGACAGTGCGTCGTTTAGTGTTCTATTGGTGTATTCAATTCCTGCTTATGGTCAACATACTCTTGATTGCATATATTATCTCTAAAAAAAAAAAGTAGGAGTAATAGCAACCAAATGATCCACACAAGCCACTTAAGAGTTTTAACGCAATAACTCTTTATAGACTACATTCACTGTATGGGGAGTTCTTTCACTATCTTCATATCTATATTTAGGCAGAAATACATTTATGGAATCCCTTCTTCTAACTCTACCTAATGCTACATAGAGCTGACCACGAGAAAATACGTCATTCATGAAGGCAGTTTATGGCTATTTACGTTCTTACTTGGGTGAAGCGTGAGCACAGGAATGGCATTAGTCTTAGCGTCCTGGATTGGACATAATCACTCTAAATCGGGAAGTCGATTGAAAATCTTCCTTGCGGTTTCCCTTCAGCAAAAATATATGCTACCAATTCGCATCCACAAGCATACCGGTACGCATCAACCCATGCCCTTCAACCTTGCCTACGACCTAGAAAGGCTTGGGGCAAAGACCTCCCGCCGCGTGCGAAGGCAGCGATTTTTCCGTTAAAATGGGCCGAAAAGGTCATCTAAACAAATGAATCGAGGTCGATGTAGGCCTGAGCGTCCATGCAAGGGTTAGATATGGGCCTGCTGAATCAGTCTCTATAGGGCCCGTACCTCCATTGTCGAACTGATATCTGTAGTATGCGAACCAACAGCCGTTTGTTTTCTATCCCGCTTCCTTTGAAGAAGAGAGTCCATGAGAATGGTATTGGCGTAAGCGTGCTTCCATGGGTTTGGCTTAGGCCTGCGAAATCAGCCCTCCCTGAAAATTGTCCCCAGGGCATGTACACCCCCTTCCAAAGCCGGAATTCCTCCTGAGTGAACAATCCAGCAGTTACACACACTTCCTTCAATGACAGACGAAGGAATGTGTACATGCGAATGGCGTAGGCCTAAGCCTCCGTCGGCGGGGGGGGGGGTACTTGGCCTAGGCTTGCAAAATCAGTCCCCCCAGGGTATGTACCTCCAAAGTTGGATTTTTTCTGAACTCTGCATCGTAATAGCTATTTGTGTATCAAGTTTCAGATGTCTAACTTCTCTAGAATATGGTTAGAATTAGCGTCAGTCAGTCAGTCATGATCGTTTATATATATTAGATGTTTATGGATTTCCAAGCGCTACAATTTAATCGGCATCCTTAAAGCATGCATGCAGATTCAGACTTAATAATGGAGTCGTGTTCCTTCAAGGTGTAATATGGCTGTCACATATATCAAATGTCAGTGTTCATTAGCTTAAATACTTCATGTATTTGAGTAAAGATGAATAGAAGGTTTGGAGTCTAACGTTTGATAAATATAGGACTGTACTGAAAAAGTTGCCTCCATTATGAACAAATTAGGTAAGTGTCATATGCCTTTCACTAGGGAGGGATTATAAAAGCTTGGCGGATTGGCCAAGCATAAAAGCTTGGGAATATAAAAGCTGTATAAAGCTTGGCATACATTCTTCCTTCTATTTGAAATCCATATATTATTCCATTGGCCGTAATGCAGCCCCAAAACATCAGGCTGCAACCTTCATATTTTTTGGTCACCATCACACGTACTCTTTCTCACGGTCCTCGCCAGGCTGGTTTCCTTTCCAATCACGCCCATCAAGCCGCATCAGCTTAATTTCGTTCTCTCCTCAACACATTACACTTTGCAAGTCCTATATGGTCCAGTGTTGATGGCGTAGGCGATTCCAGCCGCTGTCGAAGGCTTAAGAGACAGGCATGTGAGGGGAACCGAAAAATATGATGGATGCAGCCTGATGTTTTGGGGCTGCATTACGGCCAATGGAATGGTATAGGGCTTTCAAATAGAAGGAACAATGGATGCCAAGCTGTGTACAAGCATCATCGAGGACGAATTGCTCCTGACAATGGAGTATTACCAGCTCATAGTGGGAGAAGTGGTGCTTAAGCAAGCCAATGATACGAATACACTCATCGCGGCTGGCTAGCCAATGACTCCAGGGCCATGGTATCGAGGTCCTCTAATGATTAGCCCAGTCGCCGGACCCCTGAGTCAATGGAGCACTTGTGGCGACACTTGAAGCGGAGGCTGGCAGGGTACAAGAATGAGCCAGCCGAGATCCAGAATGTGCGGCTGCGGGTCAGTACCGAGTGGGGCGCCATTCCAGTTCAAACATGCTTCGACCTCATCGAGAGCATGCCTAGGAGTGTCCAAGACAGTGCTGAAGGCCAAAGGAAATGGACGAAGTATTAATAACTTCGCTTTTCTGTATGCCTAAGTGTGAGGGACAAAACTGTGACAATGACCAGGTGGGCTTTGAACAGCTGTAGCTCAACCAATAGTAGGCCATTTCCCAGGGGAATAATACAGATCGAAAGCCAAAAAGTAAGAGTATGGTTGAGTGAAACTTAAACGAAATTGATTGCGTCATACTCGAGTTATGAGTCATCAAGTGGAACTGTGTCAAACATTGTCACAGTTTTGTCCCTCACTGGGTAAGATTCCTCATGAAATTTGCTGGGCAAGGAATATTGGCATCCTGCAAGGAGGCTCTGAATCGCCTTAAGTAATAATGCATTTCATTTCTATAGAATTAGTGTTAAATATTGCAAAAAGTGCTAATGAGCTGGAGTTTGAAATAATATACTATTATTTCTTGATGTTGGTGGTATTCGTTGTCACATCTTTGTTAGTCTGCTTTAACAAATGGACAAACTTTTTCCGCATTCTAGTCCACGCTCACTTAACACTCTGACTGCAGATGGAGTTGAGGCTTTCCACGTGTATTTGTTGGTTGTATTCGTTGTCACATCTTTGTTAGTCTGCTTTAACAAATGGACAAACTTTTCCCGCATTCTAGTCCACGTTCACTTAACACTCTGACTGCAGATGGAGTTGAGGCTTTCCACGTGTATCCGGAATGCCGGATGACAGCAACAGGGAAGGAATACAGAGGAACCCAAAGCCGAACAGAAACAGGAAAACTGTGCAAGGCTTGGAATGAGATTTCAGGCTGGAAACCGACTCTGAGCTTTCTCCACCAACTACCCTACGTTGAGCGTTTAAATGTTCCCAAGGAGATTGCTGAAGCCGCGACTTCATGGATTGCTGCACAGGAACGGAATTATTGTCGGAACATACTGTTTGCCGAGCGGCCTTGGTGTTTCGTTTCCACGGTGGATTTCCGCTGGGAATACTGCGACGTACCCATGTGCCATCTTCCTCAAGGTATGAAAATCTCTTTTCTCGAAGGCTTCCATTCTAGGTAGGTTATGGGACCCTGAACTACAGATCTCAATGATAAACCCTTATTTATTTTGTTTCTCGGGAGCGATTTTCGAGAGGCGCGCAAGATTGACTTTTTTAACGGACTAAAGTGATCCATCCTGAAATGAAAATAAAAAAAACAAAGCTACGTTTCACGATTTTAGTTTTATAAAAGTGTATCATGAACCTTTATAACCAACTTTTGGTTTACTATCTCAAGCAGTTTCATTGCGGAAATTCACCAAAAAAAGACAGAAATCAGGAGAAGCTATGTTCTATATATTTTTCGGCTATGATGGTAACTATATAGAAAACGACAAGGTATCGAACTGGTCGATCCTTCAGCATGTTCCTTCTCGGGCATCGGCATCAACTGCTTGCAACCTATCGTTGGCCGAGAGTACCAATGGTGCAATATCATCAACCGATACCAGGCTGGTACCGGACAATGCATCCTTATGGCCATTTAAACAAAAATTCAAGTTGCGAAAGTGATACTGGTTTTGGTGCATCATTACTTCCGCTTCATGCCTTCCACAAAACTAAGGCATTATTCTGCTACCTTAAAGCTCCGTATGCAAGGTCAAAGTGGAATGTCAAATACTCTCCTGAAGTGGCATTTTCAGCTTTTTTCAATTCGTTTGCAGATTTATCATGACTTCAACGAATTTCCTTTAGAAATGTTAATTTCGCCCAAAATTATATCAAGGAAATGTGTAAGCAACACACATATACCAAAATATGATTCTTCCAAAGTAAGTAGCCACGGAATAGGAAAATTAATGAATTCCAAAGAAGTTACTTGGCAAAGTTTTACCATGCAACTATTTGAAATTCATAAGATGTGCCTAAAGAATATCTTTGTATTCACTAGTGCTTTCGTAGATCACCTACTTTTGTCAAATTTGGCTGTTGCAGATACGTATGAATCTATTCAAACTCACCATTTTTCATTTGTTTCATTCATATTATACAATCGAGTCAATTATTCATGGCACTCATTTAAAATTACTGTTTTCTTCATAAATCCCAGAATGCCTTATTTTCCGTTACCCGTCAGAGCCGGTGGAGTGCAAATTGACAAAAGGTGGACAGGAGTATGCAGGGTTGAAGAACGAGGACGCAAACGGTTTCAAGTGTCAACCGTGGTTGAGCAAAGCATCGAACACGAAATCCTCGCTCCCGGAATGGATGACTTACCCTGACGAAACGATTGACAGTAGCCACAACTTCTGTCGCAATCCGACGGGGGAACTCGGCGGCCCTTGGTGCTACAATGACGAGGGCTCTGACAGAAGAGGACTTTGCGAAGTCCCTTTCTGCTTTGAAGTGTATCTGCGTTCTGCTATCGACGGTATGAATTTGGGCTACTTCGTCTTCGTTTCCAAGATATTTCCTTTAAATAATTGTCTCGCGAAGAAGAAATTCAGAAGATATTCTAGCATCTTGTATCCTGCAAACTTAAAATTATGTAAATGATTGAAAACGATTATCTTTAACTATTTTATTTTTCTTGATAAAGGGTCACTTGGAATCTTAATGCCCTTCAAAACGGCAAATAATTGTTTATAGGCGATTCTGTCATTGAAATGGTTGAAATACATAGGTAAAGTCGCGGAGGGATATCCTGAGTGTCTGCTCACCCTAATGGGGAGAGAATACGCGGGAACGGAGAGGAAGACCGAGACAGGGAAGACATGTCTCCAGTGGGATAAGCAGCCCCATGGAAAAACTAAGGACTTTAAAATAGCAATGTCCTATGAGGATCATTTCCGTTTTGGCAATCCTTCATTGCATGAGAACTTCTGCAGGAATCCAACGTTGAAAGAGAGACCCTGGTGCTTCGTGGAACCTCCAGATTTTTGGGAATTTTGCGACATCCCTCTTTGTCCCAACTTTACCAGTGAGTTGACTCTGAGCAACGAACTATATGGTAAGAATTTTCCATCACATGGTTAAAATCAACCGACACTATGTAATAATGGATCTTTAAAGTCGAGAAGTGCTTCCTTAAAGAGGAAATATGGAATTCCCACCGCAGCAGGGTGGGAAAAGCATCACTACGACGAGCCTTACGAAACGTGGCAGCATTTTGCATTGGATTGCATGGCTAAAGAGCTAAAATGTAAAAGTAAAATGTAAAACGTAAAATGTTATTCACTGTATTGAAAACATAATGTTTTCAAATTAATCTTCAAATAATGTTTTGCCTCTTCTGAGATATTACAAGGAATGTAATGTAATGATACATTACCGGAATGATAAAGGACTCCCACTCGCCCTCGAAATTCTTACAATTATTACCTCGTGGTGCTTTGCGGAACACTTTTGGATCGTCTAAAAGAAAGGTCATTTTACGCTAATTTCCGTCTCTGGCCGATGGAAAATGTAAGTGCACCACAGCTTCTTCACCTTGTCGGGAAGAGAGCTTCTCTAAAATGATGCACATCCTGCTACTATCCTGCATCTATATCTCTTGGGTGCTGGCTGCTCACACTTTATGGACAAGGAAAGATAAATGGATGTCTCGCACGTCATCCTTTGAAATTCACTCTTTGGGAAGAGAGAGGAGAGAGAATGAATTTCAGAAGGCAATAAGAAATTTGTACTGAATGAATGAACATTACCTCTTGATCTGTGATATTTCACAGATAAGCAAGGACAGATCACGAAATGATCATTCCGTTTCGCCAGAAGCGTGGCTGGGTCAGGTTTCTAAGGCGGTGAAACGGGATAATGCGTGCATAATTATGTCCATCTAGTTCCCACGTGTTTTCTGGGCTCATCTTTAGAGTCTCTCGTTCATGTGCATTGGAATGCGCTTTTTTTCTTACTCTCCTCTAGACAGGACGGAATGCAAGTGGACGAAGGAGGGAGAGGAATATGCAGGATCTCGAAATGTGACTGCGACAGGACGACCGTGTTTGCACTGGGAGGAATCGGCCAAAATGCATTGGATTACTCTCCTCTAGACAGGACGGAATGCAAGTGGACGAAGGAGGGAGAGGAATATGCAGGATCTCGAAATGTGACTGCGACAGGACGACCGTGTTTGCACTGGGAGGAATCGGCCAAAATGCATTGGATGTCTTTTCCGAAGGGAATGAGGAGAGAGAACCACAACTTCTGTCGCAATATGGAGGGGGATTCTGGTGGGCCCCACTGCATTGTAGAGACCGTTGACGATCCCTTCTTGGACATCGAATATTGTGATGTCCCTTTCTGCCCCTTCCATTATCTCCAGTGAAGGGGTCTCGTCTGTGACCTAGGCGCAATGAAAGCCTTTTAATGATTTTAAAATGTTGACTGTGTGGATATGCGTCTCCAACATGTAGGGATTTAGAGAATGGGAAAGCAATCTCATCTCCTCAAATCAACACTCAATTACTCTCGTCATATAACTAACTTAGTTAGGGTTTTATTCTCACAATCACTTTTTGCCTATCTCTTCATTCTGCTTCTTCTGAAGCACTAGCTTTCGTAGCACGATACTTTCAGCCACGTATGTGGAATTGAGAAATGAATGCACACACTGTAAAGCAGGGCTACTCCACCTTTGAACTTCTGTCTGGATCCGAACAGGGAGTTGCCATTCTCTTCCCTCAGACTAAGGTTACCATGCGTCCAGGATTCCTCAGATATATCCGAATTTCGACTTCTTTTCGCCAAAATCTTGAGTATTCATGATATTCAGAATAGCATTTTCCAAGATTTATTGGTCATGTCCAGAACTTGACCGTCACGTGTGCTCTCTGAAAGTATATTTCTACCAATATCAGATCAATGATAATGGGTGCAACAATTTCAGATGGCGAAAGTTCCAGGGTCACTTAGCTCATCAAGCAGAGCTGTGCCTGCACGCACGATAACCCGCACATCAAGTGATAGCTAGATATTGAAATGTCGAACAATAGAGATTCAGGGGAGCTTGTCTCAACGCCTAAAGCAGGTGTTGTACTGGTCCGCAACGCAGGTGAGGGAAAGCAAAAGCAGCTGGTTAAACACGACTTAAGGGGGAACACTTTCACTTATATTATTGATACTAGCGAGTTTGTTTGCCCTTCGAGCATACAAGCTCATAACCAAAAAAAATATTTATATCAGTATGAAGAGACAAATGTTGAACAAAATTTCAGCTTTCAATAATTTCAATAATAAGGTTTTTCGAAGTTGCCAAAACTTAATTAAAATACTGTCAGCCGTCAATAGAGCGCCACCCTCGCCAGCCGCCATCCGCAAACACCTTCAATTCCAATAACGTGTCTATTCTATGTAAGTCTCACTCGATATTGCGCTAAGCTGCATTCTGTGCTTGCCACGATCATTTCCCCGCGTGTAAAATTTATGTCCTGCCACCTGCTCCGTACGATATATTGATAGATAGATAAGGTCGCCGAATCCGGCGTAATCCAGTCTCTTTTGGTATCTTCTTGATTCTTAGGTCACCTGCATTCCTTGGATTTTTGTGGTACTTTTTTTCGGAAGGACCGGACAAAAATATCAGGGACTGCGAAGTTTGGAAAGAAAGAATTTCATCGAATGAATCATTTCATAATTTGGTGGATTTAGCGTTACCCCATGGTCCCATGATCAACACACTACCCACACTTTGCAGCCCCTAATATATTTTTATCTGGTGCTGCCTAAAAAACAAAATGTACCATACAAATCCAAGGAATGCTGGTGACTTAAAGAATAAAATTTGAGACATGATCACCACCATTGTGAGAGACACATTTGCAAACCGTAATGAAAAATATTTTGTTTGATGCAGAGAGTGCATATGTACCATACAAATCCAAGGAATGCTGGTGACTTAAAGAATAAAATTTGAGACATGATCACCACCATTGAGAGAGACACATTTGCAAACAGTAATGAAAAATATTTTGTTTGATGCAGAGAGTGCAACAATCAAAATGAAGGGCATTCGGAAAAATTTCATCTGCCGAACAAAAAGCAATGCTGTGTGATTTTTGGGGGTTGGAAGAAAATTTCCTGAGTGTAGTATCTATTAAATTTTCCTAAATTTTCAGGTTGAATACATAATCCATTCTTCATTAATTAAAAAACAAATGTGTCAGAGATATGTGGGACACCCTGTGTATAGACCATGATGACTGATCGACTGACTGACTGATACTAATTCTAATTATATTCCAGATAATATGGTAGTATGAAACGTGGTACGTGGGTTACTATTAGGATGCGGAGTTTAGAAAATTTCAGAATTAGGAATTGGTACACGGGTTTTTGGGGGGGAAATGTTTTCAAGTAACTTTTTTGGCTTTAGCCAATCGGAGAGACCTAGAAAGCTGAAACTTGGCATAAATTTATATACTGAAACACAGAGTTCAGGAAAAATGCCATGTTTGCCGTTTACAAATAATTTACTTCTAACCCTGTCGGATCCAGCAAGACGTCGTCTCTCTGCGCATATATCGACAGGGATGTACACTACGTTTTTACCAATTCGAAAATGCAAAAAAATTAATCGCAATCTTGGATAATGGAGACGCCATCAGAGCGAATTATTTTCCCCAAAGGTCAAACAAATTCGCCAGTACGGGCAATGTCGACTATCATTTGAATTCATGTCTTGCGCTTCGTGTTTTTCCCTTGGATCTTTGTGTCATCGGACTGATTGTGCATATATAACCAAAATTTTTCACTACGACATTCCTCCAAAATGTTCTTGAAATGGAACTAACTTTCAACTTTACCAGGCAACGCTTCTCGTGCAAACCAAAGTTCCATGTTCTTACAAAAAATTATTTGAAAATTCCATAAATTTTTATGTTGTCAACGAATGCTTCGTGATTCAAATGTGACGTTCTCAGCGAAGAACTAATCTTCTTGCTTAGGAAATTTTAATCCCTGTTCCATTCACCTATTGCAATTTTTTTCTGGTGCCTCACGTGAAAATGAGATGTTGAAATATAATGTTTTCATCTGACCTTCATGCGCGTATTAATCATCAGTCTTATTCGTCATATGGAACCCTTTTGACAGATCCAACTCCCACTCACCTTGTAGTTCAACCAGGTGGATGCAACTTCATCGGAAAATTAATGCCAAAGCTCTCGCCGTGAAATTTTATTTCCAGACAGCCAGACCGCCGGGACATTAATCATGTGGCCCTATTAGCTGAGCATCACTACCATTATGGACTATGTCATGCCAAGATTTAACTCTTTCATGACCATCACTCTCACCACCTTATACCACTCCTGGACCAGCCGTTTTACACGTGGAAAGAACAGGGACATGGAATGCCATCTATCGGGAGATAGAATAACTTTTCATTTGAATGACAGAAACGATGCCACAGCGGTAAATTTAAACACGAGCGTTTATCCGAGGAAAATCAGATACGTGCGTCGAGGAACAGCTCACCGAATCAGAAAAAATTCCGATTTGATTGTCAAAATTTTAGCATCCCCTCGGACCATTTCCTCGAAGGTATCATTCTGTCTCATTAGTCATATGCAGGACCCTGTGAAGGAAATGTTGTCCGAGTGAAGAGTGAATATTGTAGAGACCATTGTCCATCCCTTCTTGGACGTCGAATATTGTGATGTCCCTTACTGCCCCTTCCGCTATCTCCAGTGAAGGGTTCTCCTTTGTAACCCAAGCGCAACGGAAATGAAAGGATTTTAATGATTTTAAAATGTTGACTGTATGGATATGCGTCTCCAACATGTCGGTATTTAGAGAATGGGAAAGCAATCTCTTCTTGTCAAATCAACACCCAATTACTCTCGTCATATATTTAATTTAGTTAGGGTTTTATTCTCACAATTTCTTATTGCTGATCTCTTTATTCTGCTTCTTCTGAAGCATTAGTTTTCGTAGCACGACACTTTCAGGCACGTATGTGGAATTGAGAAGTGAATGCACACACTGTAAAGCAGGGCTACTCCACCTTTAAACTTCTGTCTGGATCCGAACAGCGAGTTGCTCTCTTCCCTCAGTTGCCTCTTCCCTCATACTAAGTTTCCCATGCGTCGGGGATTCCTCAGACATATCCGAATTTCGACTTCTTGAGTTTCCAAAGTTCTCCAAAGCAAAGCTTCTCGTGCAAACCAAAGTTCCATGTTCTTGCAAAATATTATTTGAATATTCCATAAATTGTTTATGTTGCCAACGTGTGCTTCGTGATTCAAATGTGATGTTTTCAGTGGTGAACGTAACCTCTTGCTAGGGAAATTTTAATCCCCGTTCTATTCACCTATAGCGATTTTTTTTTCTGGTGCCTCATGTGAAAATGAGATGTTGAAATATAATGTCTTCATCTGGCCTTCATGCGCGTATTAATCATCAGTCATATTCGTCATAGGGATTCCTTTTTGACGGATCCACCCCCCACTCACCTTGTAGTTCAACCAGGTGGATACAGGTGGATGCGACTTCATCGGAAAATTAATGCCAAAGCTCTCGCCGTGAAATTTTATTTCCTGACCGGCAGACCGCCGGGACATTAGTTATGTGGACCTTCCACGTATTAGCTGAGCATCACTACCATTATGGACTACGAGTATGTCATGCCAAGATTTAACACTTTTATGACCATGACACTCACCACCTTTTATCTCTCCTGGACCAGTCGTTTTACGCGTGGAAAGAACAGGGGCATAGAATGCCATCTATCGGGAGACAGAATAACTTTCATTTGAATGACAGAAACGATGCCACAGCAGTAAATTTAAACACGAGCGTTTATCCGAGGAAAATCAGATACGTGCGTCTAGGAACAGCACACCGTATCAGAGAAAACTCGGATTCGATCGTCAAAATTTTAGCATCCCCTCGGACCATTTCCTCGAAGGTATCATTCTGTCTCACTAGACATTTGCAGGACCCTGTGAATTAAATTTTGTTCTAGTGAAGTAGCTGCTGATGCTTTCGTCACATCGTCCTTGCATTTAGTTCTGTTGTTAATCCGTTTCATGGAAACATATCGCATCTTGAAGATGTCATTATTTAAACGAGAACATTTCTTGAGGGTATACGATGCACGTGCGGCCGGTACTGGCAGAATGTGTACCATTTGAGTTTACCGAGTGAAGCTAGAGAGGACCCAGGGAATTTTCGTAGACAACCGAAAGCTGCGTTTTGCAGACAAGTCAATTTGCGAAATAATTGGTTATAGCCAGAAGGGTCATTTCGTAGAAAGTTGTTTGCTAGACAGGACCTGTTAGCACCAGCCGAGCTGAAGCTCTTTCGGCCCTGACGGGTTTCTCTACT